AGAAGATTGACTTGGGAGAGCCCGACCACCAAGGAGATCGACCGGGTCCCAACTGAGTGTTTGAGACCAGTCGAGCCAGTAGACAGAGGGAGAGAGCGCGTCCATTGGCTAGGTCGGCCTGGAGATTTTGGCAAAGAAGCAGCTTGCGTCGGGAACGCGTGCAAGCTTGCTATTCGTCGCTTGGCCCAAACCGCGTAGATGCGGGAATTATGATTGGCTAATCGAGACGTCGAAAAACCGCATCAGCGAGCCTTTGGGAAAATGCACTTCGACGCGAGCTAGTCGGCCAGGCACGACCCACTACAAGTCGTCAGTTCCGACCACCGAAAGGTGAGCAATCCGCCAGCCTATAAATATGAAGTTAAAATGGAATCGACAAAGAAGAGCGATACCGAAATGGCCATTTCTGGTATATTAACCCGCATCAATCAGTCATTACCAATCCTAGTTGTGGGTCATCTGACACTCGAGCCCAGCTGATGACCGCTACTAAGCCAGAAATTGTTATTCCGGACTCCCTTTTCTTTGTCTGTACCAAAAGTCGCTATGCACCTTTCGGCGAGGTCTCTAAAGTGAGCACTGAGGTACAATGGGACACACTAGTTGCGTTACTAGATCGGCGAGCGCCAAACTATCAGAATATATACTAGTTTGCAGGACCTATCATCTATTGCTTTATAAACGCAGCACATTCTAATATAGTTTTTCGATGGCCCTCCCAAAAACTTACAACTCAGGACATGAAAGCTGTAGTCCCGGTGCTCAGTTAGCCTTCCTAGACCTCCTTGGAGCCTAAGGGGAAATTCTTCACTGTGCTTTTAATTGGCAGATGATAGTCTAGTAAAAACAACAGTAAAGTAATATAATGGGAATATTTTTTGCTACGTTTTTTACATTGCAAAACGCTGGGTTTTGACCGAATACTTCTGTGCATGATATCTCTCTTTCTTCCAGGCATTTTTTCGGTACTTGCAGGAAAACCTTTTTATTCCAATAACGATTTCTTAAAGCGTAATCAGTATCAGTATCAGTATATTGAGGGATATGTAGGAAAAATTTCTTTGCATTCCCTATTTGTACATATGTGTAGTGGTAGCAGAAAAATTGTATCTTAGACTGTTGGCGAGGCCAGTTGTCCTGTATCATGGGATGGAAAAATACGAGCAGACAGTGAATAAAGGTAATAAAATGGAACTGCTGTGGAAAAGTCTTTGGTACAGAAAAGTAACTTGATCCGCGTTTTTGTTACACAATAACAAACGGCAGAGCATGTTGATTCGTTCACCGGACGTAGGCAGTTCAGTTGGGTTTGCGTAAAGAAAGCACAATCAAACAGGCATGGGCGCACACTCATCCATTGGCTTCACAAAGCAAAGGAGTTCGGCATGGGTGGCAAGAGTCACAAAAAGACAACCAACGTCCAAGCTGATGTTAGCCAAGTTGCAGAGAGGAGCAACGGCAGAAAATGAGGTAGACTGATACAGCCTGCTTCGGGCTTATTCTGCCTCTATTAAGCCAATCGTAACCCTGACTAACAGCTGGCACTAGAGACACAAACATGCGCCTGAGTACGGCACAGGTAGCGGATGGGCTAAAAGCATTTAATTTAATCGATTTTCATCAGCACTTTGCCAAATGTCATTATATATCGCTTCAGACAAAACATTTATTCAAATGAAGGCAGAATAAATTATCCAAATGCTAATCACTTTACCTCACGCAGGTTGGGAGTGCATACTGCGTGTTGCCTTCTTAAAAAGCACACAGGGCGTATTAGAGTGAACTATTTACTGTCCTAGTAAAGCATGATTACTAGAATAAGCACTTTAAAATAGGCACGTACCTATAGCAGCAGTATCTTAGCAGGACCTAGTAGAAACCTACACAGCCCGATGGACAGAGTTCAGGGGGTGGAAAACAAGGCAAGATCTGCTATGCTCAGGGCCTCAAACATGTATTTGTTCAAAAGAACATATACCCACATTTGCCACTCCTTGTTAGGAAGAAAGGAGGTATGAGCCCCAGCGCTAACTTCAAACCAGTGTCACTTCTGACAAACGTTAGCGTCAAAAATAGTATCAGTACTACTAAAGCTCGGCAACATTGATAGTCAGTAATAGTGAAAACAGTAGTAATCGTATCAGTCTCGGCCTCCGTGGGCCTGTCTTCACACTTACTCACGGTGAGTAAGGATAGATAGTGCAGTAGTACCCGCGCAACGTCTACTGGTAAT